AGAAATTACCAACAGGTGGACTTCACATTCCGCGACAGACAGTGGGCGCGAGCATTCCAATTAGTCTAGTTTGTATATCCAGGCAGCTGTATACGCGCTGAAGCAAATGAATTGATTCTTGGGTGCGTACAATAGAGAAACCCGATCAACAGATTGGACCAGAAGCTTCATCAGTTCAGGTGGATGGGAAAGTACGCGATATTCAGTTAGTCTAGTGCATACTCCAAATGAAATGTTTTTGTTTTCTTGTAGGTGACTGAATTTTTCTGCAGAAGTGTTTTGTATTTACGAAGCTCCGAGTGTTGTGCGCTGAAATGTGAGACAAGAATCTGGAAACCGGGTTACCACACCAAACCCTATTCACGCAGTCTCATTTGAAGCGAAATTCAAAATGGACTAATCTAAAGGTAACAATTAATTGAAATGCCGCAATCAGAATCAAACTCGCGCTCACCTGAAGGTTACTGCTGTCATTACTACAACACATTGGACGCTTTTGTCTTGCAACAATTATCCAACAATATTTTTGCTTTGCACCATATGTTGGTCAACTTTTCGTAGGTAATTCCGCGTTTTTGTGGTGTAAAACCAAGAACATGGTTTGTTTTCCATTTTTTCCGGTATGGAATTCAATGAAATAGTAATGAAATGTATTGTTGGCTCTAGCAGCCTGAATCTTTATGTAATCGGAAATCCATTTGCATCTTTCACATTGAAAATTCGACGCCGTGAGCAGGGATCGAACCGGCAACACCTCGGTCACCGGGCAGATGCTCTACCAACTGATCCTTCGCGGTGCGGACCACGATGTGAAAGATGAAAGTGGATTTTCCATTAAATTGCAAAGGCATTGAAAATAAAATAATTGGTAATTAATGCGAAGCCGAAGCTGTTGCTTTCAGCGACACCTTTTCATGGATATAATTTCTGTAATTAGACCATTTTTCATTTGAATATGCTATGGAATGGCAGCCGACCGTCAGAAGACAAGTGTTTTAGACGGTAGTAAGCATGTGAAGACCCTAATAAATTGTTTAATAAAGGTGGAAAAAAGTAACCCTACCACTTTCTATCCAAGTTTCACTTACATAAAACGGACATACGCTAAGAATCGCATCAGCAAATATAGCGTATCCGTGCCACACAGGTATCAATCATATTGACTGCGAGCAGCATTGTGTGTTTTGGCTCTCAATGCAGGGTGGTAGTTAACATAACTGTTCTCACTAGTCACCATTTATATCGACCACGATTTTTTCGCCGTCTGTTACAAGCCCGAGAGAGAATGACCATTGTTGAACTGACTAGCTTATGAACTGTAAAATCCATTCGGACGGCTGAATTATTATGTAAAAAAAATCAGTTAGTTTGAAAATGTTTGGACAATTCACCGTATTTATTGATATAGGATAAACCAAAGGCACTGTATCACACATTATTCCGTTTCTAAGGGAATTAGAAGATCCGATACTGTGCGGTTTTCTTATCTCGTACAGGTTCATCATTAAGAAAAGCAGTAATTGGTGGATTAGCCGCGAGTGACGTATAACGTGGACTGGAGCTCGAAGTTTCATCACAAAAGTGATCGAAATAATTGGTGAATAGTAGGATCATTCATGTACATTTCCATCCTGCTTAGAGGGTGATCTGATGCAGCAATAATTCAGGTTCGTGAATTAATTCGAGAATAGCGTTTAAAATCTGGATTTTTCATTAACCGAAGGATCGCATAAGATGTTTAAAGTACTCCATAAGCTTCCACCATCGGTCACTTTCCCCAATTGCAACCTCGAAATGGTTGCCACCCCCTTCCTGAATTGTGTGCCGTTTTTGTAAATAATCAAACGAGGTATGGAAAAAAGAGAAAATAATACAGATGAGTGTAGCTTTGTCCGCAAGGAGCCATTTGTCAAAATTTGCCGTTTTACCCTTGACTTCCGCATTAGGAGGAATGAATTCCGTAGTTCGGTTACATAAATATAGGAGATTGGACTCGGGGACAGTCATGCAAAAATTGAAGATCATGGGTAACAAGAAATACGGAGAAGGAGTTCTTGGAAGGAAAGAAGGACCAGTATCAACAGCGCGATGGGTTGGGACCGTCACTTTATAAGGAGGGTTTGACGTCTGCGCATGGCGATTGGAAAAAAGGGGGGCGGGGATCCCAGAACCAAGCTTCTGAGAACAGAATCCAGAGCAATAATGATAGAACAGAGAAAGTGTGAAGCAAGTGCCCGACTAGTGGGAGCGAAATTGAGGTCAATGTGGAGTCACGGATGACGCGAATGGTCTTACTTTGGACACGGCCGATGCAAAATACTAAACACCAAGAGGCCTTAATCTTAACATACCACAGTGCTGAATCAAGCCGGGAGGATGGGTAGGGCAGACAGCATTGAAGGATGACTTTCTCCCCAAAACGAATGGTGCGGTTATCCTTGACGAAGAGTCATAACAGGTGTATGTTTGGCGCATACTTTAGAGAGCACTTTTTTCTCGGATTGTAATAAAACATTCGCCGGTGCAACCCAGAGTCCAGGAAATTAGTTCAGTTGATGATCCATGTAGTCCCAACAAAGTGATGAGTGCCTCACTTGATCAAACGCTACACAGAATGCCATTCTTCGATACATCTCAACATCACACAAGACAACAAACGACTACTGGATCAACGAAACTCACACGGGTGGGTGAATGACACTATATGGTATTCCAGATAAGAAAAATGTGACACAGTCACGGTTTCTTAACTTTCGTCATATCTAGTGTGACAAAACTCGGTCGGCATTATCTAGGCTTTGAGGTATTTACAAGCTTTACGATGAGAAATACATATGCAGTCATTCGAACTGGGGAAACCTTTCTAGGACGTAGTACTTGTGAACGGCTAAGAGTGTAAGCTAGTTCTGATACAGAGTTCTTCATAAGAATGTGTTGTTTACCTTTGGGGTCAGAGGAGTCACAAGCTGCTTCGCGAAAGCAAAGCCTGTAAAAGTTCCTCTTCGTAATTTTGGCCCTAAAGTTAACTAAAAATGGGTGATGGAAAAGGTCAAATAAGAGTACGCAGCAGATTGAGACTAGTAGAAAAGGGTTGTAGAAACCACGGCGCTTTCCAGTGGATAGGACTGAGATTTTCCTGGAACATTTGAAATGTAATCAAATGAAAAGGTGTAAGCATTACGGCAGACGGTATTTGCAAGATATCGGAGATTACAGTCACCGTGGAGATGTGAAACTAGCTTCTTAGCTTCAAAGCAACAAAAAAATGTGTTTGGCTTTCCGCACAGTTACTCACAGTTTTTAGATTCTTTGTAAAATAACATTTGGACGAGGATTAGATCAGGGATCGGCCACGTCGCCTAAAAGCACTTTTTCAAATGTGTCAGTGTGTCCTTTGCTCGTAGTGGCATCTTGCGCTGCCAATCTGCTTTTATTAACGTCCCAAACTTTTCTATATATGACCAACATTGACTAAAAACCTACCCCGTTCTCTACCCAGGGGTTGTCCTGAATAATTGCTTTTCCCGGGCTATAAATATTAAAACTGTTTATATATAGAAAACACGAATAGCAAACAAGCTCGTTTTCGGTAACATCATCCTCGTGGCTAATACGGTTACATTTATAGGTTAGAAATGCATAAATTATGAACAACGTCTGTGTGCTAAAGTGTGATTGGATGGTCATCAAAGTTGGTGTTGCGTAGTTAGGAAGGATAGGGGGGAAATGTTGTTGTTTCGTGGTTGGTTACGAACGCAAAGTATATTTGCCTTTTTTGGGACGTAAAAAACATCGTCCCTTATAATTTGCCATCCTGACTAGGTTTACTATTCCTTTGTAGTCTTCCCTCGAGTAAATGAAGATTCGGATTGTTTAACAGGATGGCTAAAACGGCTTTCTTGTCGTGACCGCCCCGGGAGAAACGTTCAAAATCTTGTTGCCCTTAGTGAATACTTCGGTGCTTTTGATAAATTCACTGATAGATTATTGTTTGATAATGATTTCACTTTCAGTCCACATTCGTGGTACCCATCTCTCAATAACATCCTCATGCAAGTTCAGAATCTGTCTCTCCTCGCGCGTTTCCATATAGAAGCAGAATCATCCCTTTCCTTTTCACCTATTTCTGGGACTCAACTGAGTAAATGATTATCTCAGCATTCATCTACTTCATTGGACAAAATACATTATATTATTTCGTTATCTCTCTTACCTCCTGATCTGCATTGCAATAAACGCCCCTGTACTTTCTCTCTAGGGGGTTCTGTGGATATCATATACTTGCTGAACATTGACGTTGTATCTAGTGCACAAGTGTGTTAATTGAATCGACTTCAACTGAATAACTCCACAAAAGACGGTCATTTCAGGTCGATTCGCTGTCCCGTGCCACACGCTGGGCCTCGTCCAGAGGCCACGTTTCGGTGATCTTCGGCAAAACACTCATTTTCCAATCAGTAGTTTCTTATGTTCATCGAATAAACATTCTCCATCTTAGGGTGAAGTTAATGACTGCAACGATAACTGGTTACCAAGGTTTCAGTAAACAGTAAAATAATTACTTGCATTTCGTACGGAGAGCCGATGCTATGGAAGTCTCCGAAAAGGCATACTATCAGGAGTGTCTTTCGAACTAAAATTGCGTAGCCGCTCCTTCGGAGACCATTGCTCGATCCTGGATCAGGGTGTGGCTCACGCATGCGGTATTTGAGTAATATATCTGCCTGACTCTATTTTGCAGCTGTTAAGGCCCATTGCAGTTGCATTGCGGTTACAATCCTACCACCTCATTCTCCAGAATTTTGCTCCGGCTTATACTGTTTACGGCTACGGCACTCATGGCATTTAGCTAAACATTCGGATAACTTCCGAGAATCTCGTGCCAAGTAACTTTATTCGCTTTTGGATCAACTGATTGAAATTTATTGCTCAAGCAGACAAGCATTCTTCGCTAAAGTTCGAGCGCATTCATTTTAGGTAGAAAAACACTGATTGTTCCATTACCATTCTCTTGATTTTCCACTTGACATCCAATATAATCGAGGATCCATTGCACGTTCGTTCTCTGGATAGCATGAATAACCTGAAACGTGGAATTATGTTGATATGATGAATACAAAAACGGAGTTACCCGTATTATCACAATAGAAGCAAAAGCACTTTTCACTGACCACTTCACGGATGGACGTTATTTTCATCAAGGTAATGATTTCGTATATGGGTAGGTTTACAGATCCGCACTTGGGTACGGAATAATCCATTTCATATTCTGGGTCTAATTGAAAGAGAAAACACAGATTTTACAAAATTATCAGGCACTTGAGGGGTGGGTTAGTTCGAAATTGAAAATACTGGCAAAAAAGTAATGATATAATATGGCTTCTGTTAGTGATAGCCTCACCCAGTATACAACCTTCCAAGGTGTCTGTAACAACATAAAGATGGAGACGTCATTTCCTGTTGGACACTGTTTAGGATGAAGAATAAACAATGAGTGATTTGATTCCACCTTCCCCAATTGGGTGGTCAATCAATGACTGATCTGATGGTGTTTCTTAATGCTGAGATTCGCAGTAGAATTTCATGTCGAGCTCGCGATTTGTGTTTTCTTGAAAAAAATGAGGTAATTCCATGCCATTTTTTCGAAAAGATCCCTGAATTTCTTATACACCTTTGTGATAATATGCAGCATAGATGGAATTGACCATGACAGATGACGCCATGGAGATAAAAAGCGATATTTCATTCAAGAGTGTTATCACCCACTAACAGATCAAGCAGCCAGATGATCCGTGAAGTGTGGTAGCAGTAGAGGCAATCAACCATTGTGTTCGATTTTGAACTAAACTCGACCGTATTTCATAACTTCTCAAATTAATCGTTTCTGGCGGAGTCTTCAAACCCGATTGCGCTACCCGTTCCCTTTGTCGACTACTTCTCCCGTATTATTGATGTGTCTGGATTAGTTTTGCGTTAGCTTCCGTTGGTTACTATAGAAATGTTGTGTCACTGATGACATGCCTAGTACTGTCTCACATCAGTGTGGTTTCATCATATATTATAAATCTTCGAACTCCTTGCTGGAACTTAGTTTTAGAAATTCAGCAAAAAGGACTGAATAGAATTTTGCAAAGAAAAACAGTCAGCATCATATAGTGCTCATCAGTTATCACGAGCTCCAGTGTTCGATCACTGCTTGGAAAAGTGAAGAAACTGACTGATTTTATCTACCATCGACAGTGTAAACATCTAGTTGTCATTCTTTCACAGGATAAACAAAAATACAAATAATGATGATATAATTATCACACTGGAAGATTTTTGAAGTTCGCTCCGACCGCCCGGCTCCGTACTGTAAACATGGCGGTGTCATAATTTTTACAAATAAAAGATGGTGGAAAGAGACAAAACATTTTTGCGTACTATATATCTCACATCGGTGTTTCTGTTACTGTTGGCAAGTACACTTACCCCATTTCTCTTTCTTTTATCCTGATTAATTCGCTCATCTTGCCAATACATATTTACTTAACGTTGGTAATTCTCCCCTGTATTAGCTACCGGACGGTCTGCGATATCCCCTTGGTTGGTGCGGGGATCTAGGTGAACTGAATGCAAGCAAAAATTGTTTCCGAATACACAAAAAGACGACGATTTTGGAGGTAAAGCCCGACCACTTCCGCCATGGCTAGTGCGGGACATGTCACCTTTCTGGATAACCGACTACAGAACCCTATAAAAGAGTGGAAAGATTCTGTCAACTAAGACAGGTTGATTGACTTTCCGGAGTTCAGGTGAATCAGAACAGCATCTCAGACGGCCCATCAGATGACACTTCTAAACAATTTTGACACATTCACAGAATGTATTAATAGCATGAGAAGCATGAATCTTATGTAATGGAAAATCCACTAGCACTTTTTACTCCTCGACGTTCGACCTTTCGATGGGAAAAAAGCAAGTAGATTTTCCATTACATGATTTCGACGTAGTTTCGAATTACTGTACAAAATAGCATAGTCCTCTTCGAAAGAGAATCGCCCTCTACTTGAACTGACGGTATTTCATCTCGCGTTTGGTTGCCACCTTTTGAGCTGACTGGTAACCGGAATGACAGTTCACCTGCCTGATATTTTTTTTGTCCATTTGGTACGTGGGAGATGACTGGTGAATTAGGAGCACTGTTCGGGCTTCCTGGCACGGCTGCTTTTCGAAGCCCACATACTCGCTTACGTCACACTGTCATTAAGGTTCTTCAGGGGATCGAACAGAACTATGATTCATATCAAAGCGCGGGTCGTAATGAGGCTAATTTGATGAAAAATGTGGAAGCATATTTTCTAATGTATATACAATTCAGCATTCCGTGCAAATAAAAAATTGTACGAACGCTCTCGCTCATTAATTTTTGAGCCTTTATTTACCGTAAGCTAATGATGTCGATAATACAGTGTCTGATTAGGTATCCTTACTTGTGAATAATCCTTCACTTGTATCTCTAGAACAACGAATATCGGTTGTATGATCAAAAGCCTGTCTGAACGCACCTGTGAGCATCGGCCCGCGTGGTTGGGGCCTGGAGCCATTCAGCCATTAACCAGCGCAGTCGGTTCACACCGAGCTAGAACTAACCATACGGCGAACTTGAATCAGGCTTTTCGGAGGTCCGAGGTCAATTCTCCAGGTCAATGAGAAAACGCTTCCCGGCCACAACGGGAGCCATCGAGAATCACCTCCACAATTTCCTTTGTTCGCTCAGAAGTAATTTGTGTGCACGCAATCTGCCCTGGTTCAGTTAGTCCCAGCAACAGGTTCTAGACCGTCTGAGCGCACACATGCTGAGCATGGGATAATAGATTCACACCTGGTCTCCGGATAAACATGTGACATCATAGGTGAACACTGGTACCCAACACTCCCGTAGTTGATTGTATAGTTTATGTATTTTGTAACTTTTGTGTTGTATTGGCAGGGTTAATTATCACTGAATTTAGGCTTATTCCTCAAGCTGTTGTACAAACACGCAGCAAACCATTCAGCCCGCATGTCATTGTATCGGGTTGACGGACCAGTCAACTGCTTTAAAGGGGTAAGGGCAGGAATGTGGTGAGTGTCGTCGTGTGAACAATCAGTCCACCAGGATCGACAAAGCGATCATGAGAAACCTTATCGTCCTTTTACCAGGGATGTTCTAGGGCATGGACCAGTCTCTTTTGAGATCCCAGAATAGGTTTTAGGTCACGTGTACCGATTGCTTTGACCGTCACCAATGTTTGACATCTGATCGAATCAGATTCGATATGGGGCCCTCTAATTCCTCTAACGAAAATGGAACAGCTGTACTGCGTTTTCACGGACTTCGACGGTGAGTAGAGCATTCCTACTAAATAATCGATGATTTGATGTACCATTACGTGTGTTGTTTTATTTTGGTCATAAATTACTTTAATTTGAGATGGGCATCATAAAATGACTTGATCGATGTTTTGTAGCAATCGCCTTGCTCTATTATCAAACCACTGGTGCTATCGATCTTCGTGTAAATTAGTACTATTCCACAGTCCATTGGTCTGTGCAAAGTTACACCAATAAAGGACATGGTATCTGGCCGAGTCCAAATATGGGGATCACATTTGAAAGCTTCGCCTTAGATTGGTTTCCGTATTGTTCTCATAACGGTGAGCCTTTTACATATATCGTGGTGTGTTGGCCAACTGTTAGCAATAATTAGGTGTGTATTTTTCTTTCGTGAACCTGTGATTCAATTCTAATCGAATATTAAAGGCATATTTTAACGATGTTTTATATCCAACACATTTATCCCAAACAACTCTGACCATTCGCAGATAGGAAGATTCATTGAAGTATTTCATAGCTCAAATCCACACTTTGAATATCCCTGATCAAGGATAATAATGCAAATTGTTTATAAGTACGTGTTATCTGAATGTGGTTTGACTCAATCCAATTGAAACCATAGTACATTTTGATATTCGTATTGGTTATAATGGGACATTATTAGGAGGAAGATAACATTCCATTGATCTCGTGAAAAGCTGATAATGACAAGACCGGAATGGTAAAATACATCACAGGGTACAGATTTTCGTACTTCAGTTTGGTGAAGAAAAATGGAACTCTGTCAACAACCGTAAACGAGACAAAGCAAACAACCACATCAATTCAGGGAGATAGGTGAGAAACCAATTTTGGAATGGAATGTCTCGTTCACAAATACGATGAAATTTATCAGTATTTTACTCAGTACACACTTTTCTCTGTCAGAAGGAAAAGCGATTTGGACGCTTTAGAAATGAAAGGAGGTGAGGAAAGCTGAAAGAGAGGGAGAGAGAGAGAATTCACGTGAACTCAATGAGATGGATGCACGGAAAGTTGCTCATGACTGAGTGGATTTGTTTCTTGAGTATAATTAATCAGTCGAAATACACTTCATGTTGACGTGTCGTTTGGAGCTGAGTGTGCAGGAGTTGATGGAGAAAATCACGATTACGATTCCATTTGAGTGTTTTTCCACTCACGTTCTCGTCGATGGATTCATCTGAATAGAAAAGGGATAATTAATATCGTAATTGAAGATAAGATTATCTAGAAGCGAGGACGCAGTCGAGTGTGGGGAAATTTGGAGCCTGTTTAGCTGGCTAGTGCACTAAATTATTTAAAATCTAGTGCACGGGAATTTTGCGTGACAAATAACTATAAGAGGACAAAGCTTTGTCCAACTCAGGACCATGAAGAGAACTCCAACATGATATGAACATTACATCTTGTGATAGATTGTAAATCTCTATAACAAATACCATTTGTAATCAGGGAGACAATACTTCTCTCAAACGAACCAGATTCTTAATTTATAAATTCATCTTGTCCAACTTCATCGAAAGTATACAACATCTTAGTAATTTTGTTACCATAGATAAACGAACTGGATAATATAATGACGAAATCCTGTGCTACTCACGGAAGGGTTTACAGCTTGTTTTGGTGTTTTGAGTGGTTATAGTAGCGAATGATGTGAAGGATAAGACGAATGCAAAGACTACATTTAGGACATTGTGGATATGCACCATTCAACGACAGACGTAAGAACGTCAACTTCTGGGAGAAGACAGTAGACACATAAAAGTGGACAGACAGGTAGCTTTGTAGTGCTTCATCGTGTAGCGTAGAAGCACTGAGCAGTGCTAACGCGTCCAGCCCCATATGACACTACAACCCGCACGAACGACCGTGAGTCAAATACGTCGCTATCAGGTTAACCGTGTGGTATGGTGCATTATACGATACCAATCAAATCTATAAACCACACCGATGAAATAGGTAGTAGAGCGTAGTTGATATAAAGGGAATAATTTGGTGGTACACCTGGTAGTTCTCAATATTTCGAGGGAACTCGACCAAGTTTTTTGTAAGTCGGCTTTTAGTGGGAACGATAACCCCTATCAGTGTCCTGCCTCAATGAAACTCTACGTTTATCGCCTCATTTCGCCGTACGGTTAAGGTGATTACTCAAGAATTCACACTGGCAAAACGTGTGGACCAAGAACAGATTACCGATGCTGATCGCGTGCATGGCTATTCTGTTTACTCTGTTACGCTTGCAGTCCATCTTATCAACGTGGAATTTCTTGCACTGCAAGCCAATTGTGTCATCTCTTGAAGGACTGCTGTCCGCTCTCGTTTGGCAGGGACGGATGAGAAGTAATCACAAATTAAATGCATTTGGCTGACAGTGATCATCGAATGGATCTTACTCAAACATTTGGGATATTTTACCGGGTCCTAAAATCGATCGAGATAGGTCCGGAAACGCATGATACCTATCGTCGAGTTCATCGGAGTAATATCATCGGCACTGGAACTACGTCACTTCATACATTCAATACACGTCCACCATTTTCGAGATTGACAAACGCATGCACTCACAAACACCTCTACCAGACTGATTCCCGGGATTATGATTGGCCGACTACACCTGCCGGTGGGAAGGTGTCAAAACAATTTAATCTCACATGATATCACAGCAGTACACACAGATTAAACACGCTGGCCGTTCATCTATCCCCCGAGTTTAGTGTAGTATAAATTACAACAGAATAATAATTTGTTCCAATGAAATAATGATTCGTCGAAAATAAGGTTGTGAATATTTCAATGAAACCATGTGCAAAATAAAACAGCACAGTACTGTAGTTCTGCCACTTTCTCCTTCGACTAAGATGGGTGCCTCGCCGTGTCTAGTACAAGGCTTTTGGGCACGAGCGCAAGAGCCTAGCAAAAATGTTAACCAGAAGGCAATGTTCGGAAGTGGGTTATCATGTCACGAGCTCAAAGCGGCTTTGTAACTTAAATGGTACGATACTCGCGGTGGTACATTGTGGGTGACATCAATGCGCTGGCTGTCAAATTGGGATATAGATCACTTCAAGTTTCGTCAAATGAAGTATGGTTGATCAGATGAGTACATTCATACCATTTTTGGTTATGAACTCTTATTGAACGTACCTAAATATCCATGCGAGATCGTCTGCTCCGACCAAGTCGTGATCTTGTGTGGAAAGAACAAAAGAAGCACAAAAATAATTCAAAGCGCAGTAATTTTATGCTTCTCGGACAGCTTCAGTGTTTAATTAGTCTGAACCGAGATCCGTTCGGAATGTCTTAAGAAAACGATGCGGCAGGTGATATGTTGTGGATGGGTGATTATTGTTCGGTAATACAGTGTTGTCGCAAAGGATGTTATTTAGCCGAAGTTTCAGTTACCGCGAGTAACCATTCTCAAGACCGGTTTACAATAGAATGATCTGGTCTTCAGAAAGATTACTCGCGGTAATCGGAAAGATGACTGATTACCATCTTTCCGACAACACTGTTGCCGAACAAAAAAACGTCTACCTCCATATTAGTGCTTCTTCGAAAATATTCAATAAACGCTGTCGCTCAGTCTTTCTCATTATCACCGTACTTTTGCAAAGACAATATGAATCTCTCGATCTCTGATAATTGTACTCATTTTCTTCATACCTGTTGAACGTTAGGAACTTTAATTCTCTGAAACTGTGCTACTTTTCAAAGTGAATAAGGAGACTGAAAAACCGGGTGGAATAAAATTCGCATGGTATTCAAACTCTCAGGCTAAATTACACTCTGTGGAGTTTAATGTGAACATTTTCAGAGCGTGTATGGGCAAACTTTTACTGTTTACACTTGCAGTAATGAGAAATTAGTTCAAACGCGAGGCTATCAGCTTGTTCTTCCGTGGCCGAAGTACGCAGCTTTCGTGGAAAACAGAAGACTGCATGCAGATCGAACTAGGTGCGATTCCCAAATGAAGTCATAGTGAAAGTGATGGAAATCATTACGGTAAAATGAATGTAATACGTCCAATGAATATCTGTAGTGAAGCAAAATCACGCATAGAAAAGATGTAAGGAAAACCCCTTGAGCACGAAAATTTGGGGACGAAAGTTCGGTTGGTTTTGAGGAGGTACATTCAACATTATGGTAATGGTACTCAGCGAATATCTGAATCGACACCGTATGTGCCGATCGGCTGTTGGTCGCTTGTGTGTCCATCGCACACTGAGGAGGGTGAGGTTCTCCGGGGAAGCAATATAGCTGGTTGTGTACATGATGACCTTGAAACCTTCCGGCTGGACGGAACTAACCGGCAAACAAGTATCCGTGCAAAAAAAGGTCAGTATACAATTCAGCAGTGTCTCAATGACGATTAATTCGTTTCCAAAAATATTAGCAGCACGCTGCAGCAAACATCCAATACTGTTCGCCGTATTATTTATGATTCACTAAAAAGCAACACTGGAGATCACTTCTGGATTATTCTGCCCCATAGCTAGTAAGATTTAGTTTTCCATGGTCCTTTAGTCATTTTATCTCCAGGTCCTGTTAGTTGGTGTTGATAATGCTATCAGTAGCTAAAATATTGCTTATCGCCTAAGCGTTTCCTAACAACTGTATTTGATAAAAAATGTTGTTGACCAGTACTCCCTAAACCACGTATTTACCTAAAAACGTCTTTATGCCCGATTTGTTACGTGAACGTGGGTGATATTTGTATACAGCAATCACACAGGTACTATATTGTAAACCTTTTGCAGCTTTTCATTTTGAACAAACGGCCGTCCTAAACATAAAAGTCTCAGGTGGTGATTCGTTGTGCTTCACTGCATTCCGGCTCACGAACAGATGCGGTTTCTTTACGTAAAAGTAGCTCCATTTCACCGACATTTGGAGAATGCCGGTCGTATGTTGGCGGGATATCGGAAGCATGGTTGTTCAGTCAAACCGGTAAAGTGAGATTAGATGAAATAAAGTAATTTATGTTTAGTCCTACAAACTAAACACGCAATTAATATCTGCCGGTGAAAATATTTACAGCATAATTCCTGAAATGGACTGCATATATATATATATATCTATATATATATATATATATATATATATATATATATATGCTTGTACATGAACACAGTATAACGAATACCTCTCAAAAAGTCGAAGGTTCAGTGCGTTATGTGGATCTTTATGTAAAATCCCAATAGTTTCAACGTGTTAATGAGCCGAGTAAAGGTGATTTACTGCCAAGTTCGGTTCCCGATTGATATCCTTTCTCGCATGATGTTCAAGTGACAGCAACATGGAAAAAGTTTTAGTTCGGTCCGTTTTAAAATAATCACATTGTGATAGATCGGATTTTATTCGCGTCCCCAGTTTTTTTTACAAGGCTTGAATAGGTAACACTGTTTGTGAATGACAAACCAATGTTCTGCATGCTTCATGCTGGATGAGTGTAAAACCCGGGGGACTAGATCGATAATGCCAGGTTGACCGTGTCCAAGTATCCAATTTGTTGGGCGCTATATTCAGTCAGTAACAGCGTTTGAGTTTCCAGATAATTGCTGCCTTGTCTTAGTTGACTCATCGTGACCTAACTTGGGTGACAGTATTTGATTTTTCACCACGGGTCCGTTTCGCACCTCCACTGTCAATTTTACCTGTGACACCAATACTGTTGCATCTCAATATTTTACCAACTTTTCCTCTCGCTTTGAGTGTCCAATTTACTGTTGCACCCGTTAAGCTCTATGGGCTTGACTGACAGTGAACTCGATGCACGAAGTGCACAGACCAGTAAATTCTTTTTTGAATACTACGAGGTCCCGTTACGGACAAGGAAAATCGTAGCGAATACCTTGTTCTTGCTTGACATTCCAGTTCGCTCGAACTACCTTTTGGGCTCCGTTTAACTTGGTTTCTCGAACGAGCGCGAACCCTAAACATATGGCAAATTCATTTTTTCCATCATTGTCTGAACACGGTATCTTTGCATCACCACTTTTTCCGGTATGGCTACCACGGTGAGCCCAAGTGAAGTGATACATATGTTTCATTTTTTCATCGGACTTTATTTTGCCCGGTGCATCACAAGTTATTTGATGATTAGTATGTTTCATTACTTCTGGTTGTTTTGAAGAAAAATATCACTCAGATGCAAATATGATTGATGGGCTAAAAGAGGCTCATACGTTGTGAATATCAAATTAGTCCCACGATAATTACGTAATTCACAAATACAACGAACTCTCAATCTAGTCAGATTAAATACGTAATCAGTCAGAAAGACGGATCTCGTATGTGACAGAAAGGCATTATCGAATTGGTCGACCTTTTTTTGGTCTTATGAGTAGCTTACCGAATTTCACCAGCCATCAACGGATTGAAAGCATAAAGCCAGTCATGAACGTCAGCACCATCTTCGGAACATGTTTGAATGAGTAGCGTGTGGTGTTGTGCTATCAGAGTGAACATATTGAACCGACAAGAAACAAGCGATGTGGGAGAACCAAGTGTTTCACCATTTTTCATGACTAAACTGGATGATGGTTGGTTTCGCGAATGGCTCATCTGGTTTAGCAGTTCCGTTTCTGACGCGTAGGCTAAATTTGTGCTGTGAAATTGGATTTGCATTGATATGCATGCATAATTACATCAAAATTACCTACTGCAGATATATTATATATTCACTGGCTTTTGGGCACACTAATCAAAATATGCATAGAATGAATGTGAAGCATGATAGATAGAACACTTTTCATACTGACTTGCAAAGCCCAGATGAGGCAATAACTGTTTCGCAAATCTTACATATGTGTACAACGGATCCTTTGTGGATCTTGAATTTACGTCTTAGTGCGTTTTTGTGAAGGGGGGGGGGGAGAGGAGTATAAGGAATTTACGGGGAGTGTTGAATGAGCTTAGTTTACGTAAAATAATGGATCAGGTCACGTGTTACCTGGCCAGAGTTTGGCTTATTAACTTTCAAAAATCTGCTGTAAGGCGATTTGATGACATTTCATTTTTCTCAGCTGCAATCACTAAATCGCCCCGTTGAATGGACTGATAGTTTTCTGGGATCTGTCAATACCGTGCAAACGTGAGAAAGAATGAAGATTACTAACAAAAGCGTGTTTTAACGGCACGCAGTAAATCGGTCAAAAAAATTCAAACGATAATTCTGCTAACCGATTTTCGCATTTCACGATATCTCCTCCGGTAATGGGATTGAGAAGCATTTCAGTACCCTGTGTTCCTAATAACGAGATTAAAGGACCCAATAATGCTACCTTTTGTACAATATGAGGATATTTAAAACTTGAATGAGGTTTTTCAAGGTTTGGGGTAAATATCTGCAGCAAGAAACAGCCCTTCAGATCAGCTGATTTCCAAATGCAGTCGATGACAAAGCTATTTCACTATTGCTGTAACAGGGAAACAAGAAGGCAAGTTGCAATGATTACTCATTTTGTGCCGTAAAAAGTGAACGAAAGTTAGCAATCCTTTTGCCATCCTAATCAGCCGCTGATTTTACTCTGTGCTTAAATGCTTATAACTGCGAATAAATGAAAGAATGTTCATGCGCACAGATGTGTCTGTCGAAGTTAGGACCGAACAATAAACTGAAATGTTTTTTTATTGCGCAGTTGAACTACTTGTCTATGAAAGAATCCCTTTACTGAACGGCCGAATGAAAACAAAGTATATAAAGTATGAGACCATGAGAGATCAGCTTGGATTTTTCGCATCCAGAATTCCAAAACTACAGACAGTAATCCAACCGGCTACCTTTCTGTTACCTGGCAGATGCTCTATCAGCGGAGCCATAGCTGTGCGGTAATACTGTTTGAATGACTCAACTGGACATCCAATGTTGCTCAGACCACCTTTCGAGTGATACACAACCTTTGGTCTGTTTTTACAAACTGAATTAGTCTCATTGGTCGCCTCCTAATGGGAGAAACAGTACACGGGCTAGACGTGATTCAAACGATAGTTTTGATAAATCTGTTGAATTTAGTGATGACATGAGGAACCATATTGATCCGGGTAGTGAAAAATCCGCTTGGTGTTTTCATACCCAGAAGTTGAACTGCGCCAGCCGGAATCAGACCCGTGTTGGACTTTCGGACTACCTATAATCTAAGATCCAGTCTATTCTGTCCGTAATGAATTCTGGGCATAAAAAAGCTACCTAACACCAAATTTGTATCACTTTCCATACATCAACAAGCGGATTCAATCATGGTTTCAAATGCTTACTCGTATTCCAAATGAGCCGTGTTTAGGTTGATCAAACCACGTTCCACCAGATCTTTCTCATCCGCATAAAGGTAAAGGAACGGCCGACGAACCACGGCCCATCGACGAACCCAGCCGGCAGTCTTCTCCTCCAATATGAGTAAATATCCTTTACGACTGATCACTGGACTGACCCGTACCTTTAAAAGGAAAACAAGAGAAGTCAAACAAAGAAAATACGGACTGATTCATCCCGAAAACAGAACAGACCGGAAACAGCAACTGACCTTTAGATTACACATAAATTTTTCCTCCACAGCATCATTATGTATTTGAAAACTAAATAAGTGAATTTTGCTCAGTCCCAGTTTTGTTGTTCCAACCGATTAGCCGTTCGGAGTTGTTGTCGCGGTCCATTTGAAAAAATCAGCGTACTTTTACGAGTGGAAGAATAACTTCCAACCATCTAAGAAAGAGCACTCGAGAAGGGTTAAGTTGTTTGTCTGGTGCACTTTAAATGTCTAGAAATTCCAGGTAAAAATGGATTGGTAAATAGTGGATGACTATGACATCCTCATTGGTTTTGAGTGTTGATGTTTTTACTTAGCTCAGATTGATGGCTTTCATGAGTCTCTGATCACTGAGCTTAGCGCTTAGGTCGTAAACGTTTCATCACCAGTCGAGGTGAAATTATCTACACTCAGAAACTCATTAAAATTACTATAATACATAATATACATTTTTGGTATAACACTAACCACACTCTAAATTTCTGATCACGACTGTTGATCACTGAAGCCGCTTTTTAGATAGGAAAAAGTGTAATTTTCAAAGCTCTGGCAATTAGCAAGACGTGCTCGAATGGCTGAGCGCATTCCTATGTGGTTCCCAAGGGCAATGAATAACAAATTTACTACTCGATTGGCAGCATCGCAATAGTCGGGTGGCAGAGCATCTGCCCGATAAGCGGAATGTCGCCGATTTGATTCCGGCTCGCGGTGCTGGACTCTTGAATCTAAAAAATGCAACTGGATTTTCCGTGATATAAGCTTTGAGCTCCTCTTTCCAGAAATATATTCCATAATATTCACGGTCATTACATCATCAACCAAACAAAGGCCACCCAGGTCACTAATTACCGAACATCTTTATGAGAACAAGTGGGGCGTCACTGGAAGCCAGGCGGTCGAATTGATCTACTTAAATAAAAATACGAAAATATTAGAGTATACGGCGACCATGTCGATCCGCACACACCAGATGGAATTGAGCAAACAACGCGAGTGTGAATTTGTATCTCTTGGTGTTTTGCCTTTGTTTTCAAACATTCCGTACATCCGATTTGCTCCAAAAATAACGACTCTGACTTCAGCAAGCACTACACAGAAACTTGGCAAAATAAACACAATAAGTATGCAATCTGGCTGTCATTTTCTTCTTTAAAACACTCGCAATGTCAATCAGAACCCAAACCTATCACTCATGCATTAGCACTAACTGGATGTGTATAGTATAAATATTTACCGCTTAGGAAGTATTTCCGGGAAAAGAATTGACGATTCATTCGTTCTTAGTTGGTCGATGTGATGTGTGGTAAGACTGTTTCCTAATGCAGCATTGAATCAGTCCGTTTGATTTATTATAGTTCGCCAAAAACAAAAACGAAAACTGTGTAAAGACATTACGGTACTGCAATCAGTCATCTGTTCTACCCCCGTTGATGATTAAACGATGACGAACAGCGAGTAGCCGATCTAGGGTTCCCTCTCGTCGAACCTCGTCTCCACTGATCAACACCCTCCTTCGCATCCGCCGGTTGACCGCGTTCATCTCCCAAAAGTATCATACCGGTGTTGCCAAGCAAATCAATGAAATTAGAAGATCATAAATTAGTCTGTGGAACTCTCGATTTGTTTTACCAGTATCTCTATAGAAAAATGAGACAACGGTGAAACCAAGAGTATACTTCCACTTCACGCAAAATTTCCGTTAGATTTCACTTATTTAAGGATAATTTTCCCGCTTTACAGTTTATTAGACTAATTTATGTATTTCTCACCTTGCTTCTCAGTGAATGAGTTACATGCAGGATTGTGAACCATATTCCCAAGTACAACGAACTGGACAAACGAAGAATTATTTTCAGATATAAATCCCCAAAACAGTTTTCTATGGTTAACTCCCCAATAGAAGTTTTGACAGTATTTACATTCTTGGGGAATTTTTAAAAGAATATGACAGGTCGATCTGAAGCCTTTTCTTGTTCAATTTGCTTTCCAAAGTGGTGTTTCTAAGACATTTTCCTTCGGGCACTTAGACTCACATTTCTTGATTTCTGCCGAATAATCCACTTACCTCATCACATTCACCAACCAGTCTTTGAACCACATGTTTCGGATGCAGAGCCGGATTGTCCGTGTGTAAGTGGCTACGAAGTGATTCCATGGTGGCTGATCTTGGAATTCCAGTGACTGCACAAAAGAAGTGTGAGGTGAGGGTTAGAGATAGTCCCGTTTACCGACTTTTATCGAGGAAGTTTGGATCCAGAGAATAATTCAACGTGTAGTACCAAGCCACAAGCAATTATCAGTAGTGGAACAACTTCATAAAGATTGCACGTGACTCATTCGAAGTCATGAGCATTAAAAACCCTACTGAAACGAGTAGCTAATGAAAGACCGGGAAAGATTTCTCTGAAGCATAGGACTGGCATGGCAATTATCGCCGTTCGTCAGGCATGTGTCAACGGTACTCATTTGTCCACTCGTTTTGCTTGTATAATCCGTGGGTGTTTTATTCGTGCTTCTTGAGGTTGGCCACAACTTAACCACAAGGAAGAACCAGCTAATCAGAGTTGTAATTCCTCGGTGAAATCTTCTACGAGAGGCAACCTTTCAGATCACCGATGCCTTACATCAGATAATTGTGAGTAAATATATACGAAGATCAAATGGATGCTACTGAAACCACCGAACAGGATGGGAAATCTCACTTAGTATTCATCATCAGGTTATACTGAATGGACTGCAACGGTTCGCTTCAAGTCAACACGATGGAATACCGCACAAAGCCGTCACCAACTTTGACCAATAATCTAAACGAAAAAATATCGGGTGCTTTTTGCAATGAATTATTTTGATTTTCAGTTGATTGTTTCAAAAGTACCTAGACAAATGCGATTGCAACCCCCAGAATTTCGTACAAAACTTAACTGAATAAATGTGAGTGTTCCGCATTCAGTAGCACCGTCTTGTGGAAAAAACATTTCTCACCAGCGGACAATTCATTTACCGCATCGGTTGATCGAAGACATGTACAACCAGACAGTATTATCGTAGTTTAAAAACAACGTGTCGCGTAGTTTTTTTTCGATACACTCAGAATCGCAGCCGGTTCTGCTGCAATAACCGAATAAATGTATTCGCAACAGCACGTGAGTTGACGACTTCGTAAGTAAATCTCACTCGAAACATCCTGGGCCTCCAAACATGAACGTTTTCCATACTATTTACCATTGGTTAGATCGACACTTCTGACTACTTCATCCCTCGATTCCTGATGTTAAATTGCTCTCAAAGCAAAAACCAAGCTATCTAAAGTCCACGGTAGCTCTTTTCCGAGAGTACTGAATGCTGTCGGTTATGCGTCTGACAGCAAAATTCCACACAGGTTAACGCACATTTTGCTATGAACTGTTGATTTCAACGTTCGCTGTTTTCGTCAATCTCCAGGAGATGCAGCTACTCATGCTTGTATGCAAAGAGGTAATCGAGCACTAGCATGTCTGAACAAAACATCCAATCGGCGTTCGTTAAATGCCTGTCATCTATCGGTGCTTTCTAATATGTTATCCTTCTGACTCGAAATCACTTTATTCCGTTATTACTTTATAGTCCTTTGATATATTTACCGTTGTAATTTCTCATTAACCTAGTCAATTCTCATTATTCTGTCGCGTGCTTAAAATGCAGTACAGTTTTGCCGCAGATCTTTCTCACTTAAATGTAATGGTAAGCCTGATTACTTCATCTTTGTAATTAGCTTTTTGACGCGAAGCATGACGGTTCATTAATTGGCAGTGTGACAGCAAGGGGGTATAAATAAGAGTTGTGATGTATGTGGAGAAGGTCTGCTCAAGCTGAGCTCCTCAGCTGTGAAATTTTATGACATCTAGTAAGCTTTTTTACCCACAACCAGTGTGTAAAACGTTTTTCGTCTTGTTGCATTAGGGAGGAATTTGCAGTATTTTGGAGGACACTTCAGTAGTTTATTTCGGTGGAAATTGGTGTAAACTGTGAGAGGACGGTATGTGAGTGCACTGTTGAGGACTGCTCCTCAGATTTGTACGCCATGGCATGGACAACCATTTGATTACATCTCGGCAGCACCTGTATACTTTGTACAAAACTTAGTAACTTTGAGAGTTCACATCATTTCTAATATAAATATTTTTTTTCACTACCTTAACCATAAAGTTGAAAACACACTTTCGTCCACTTTTGGTCAGGTGAATTTTGACAAGTCGCTGCTTGGTGAATACAGAATCCGACGAGATATGTAAATATGTGGCCATCAGAAACACTGCGTCCTTGGTAGATCTTTTAATTAGCCGACATTTTCCATCCCGGGAGTAACCTACTGTATTGCGAGCTTGCCATGCCAGCGATGGTAATCATAAGTCACTGGGTGTTGGAAGGTGTGTGTGTGGGGGTGGGATGGGGGAAAGAGGGGAGGGGAGGGCATGTTTGTCTCGCGTGTACAGTAGTGGAGGCGTTTGGCTCCCGTCCACACTATCCTCGACTGGTGTCGAGTTTATTTAAAGTCAACTTGTCTTTGTTGCCACAAACCTCCGGCAATAAGTGTAAACTAATTACAACACCTAAAAACAGCACATTATGGTTTACTGCTAAAGCACATAACACGTAAAGTATCGTTTTTTGGTACCGTCCGAACCTCGTTTGATACCAGTACACTAATTGAAAAAATTCTTATTAACATTTGTTGGTACAAAGTAATTCGCTGTCACACGGATCGTTAATCTACCTTAGGCGGTTCACCATTGCAACCCTCAGAAGTAAGGTTGCTTGTTGTCATTCACAACGTATGCGGTCCCACATGAGCACGCATGGGCTCCGAGTAGTGATAAAAGTACTGATTTAGCATAAAATATCAATCTGCCATTATCATCTATCCATTGCAGAACATGTGCGAGCTCATTTGGTGAAAATAAATGATATATTGTTGAGAAATGGTGAAACCACTGAAAACCGTGGAAGCAATGTAGAGCCATTTCATCCTAGTTAGCAGTGCTTATCGACCGAACTCCAGCTGTCACTCGAACACGGGGTGAACGATTATGAGTCACCCTAACCGCAAGGCTATCCAGTTCGGCTCGGTAGATTGTTTAATGGAATGTCTTCGTTGTACATAGGCCGCTACAGGGAAGCCGTCCGACATAGGAGTCACCCACTGTGCGGGATATACTTTACTTTTTCATTTGAGTAATCTATCTACTCTGCTCTATATTCACGTCATCCTGTGTTTCATTCATGCTATGCTCTACGTTTGATCGCACCACCCCACGCGCGCTTTGCTTTCACACGAAATTCATCATCAAATTTCTCATCCGTATTATACGACTGACATTTGGCTTTGCATCGCACGCCACATCCTTATGCTTGTCTAGGTCAAGCGTGTGTGCGACCTCTTCTATATCATTGTCTGGACTCGCTACCCGTTCGTCTGTCGTGAGTATCCCATGTTCTTTTTCTGCTATAAAACCGTTTTCCACCTTGCTCTGATGCTTTGATCCCGTGTCCTTCGGCGTACATTTCCTTCTGTCTGTGCGAACGATTTCGTGTCAATTCACGGTCTTCTCTCAAAATTTGAGGTATATTATTTACTCTTGTAATCATTATCTTTTAAAGTACACGTACATTATCCACTCGCCTTATTTGACTTTGGGTTTCGGGTTCGTGTTCTACGAGCCACTCAACCACTGGACAGCGGGTCGGTCACAGCAACTGTCAGACACCCCACCTTCCTCCATTTGCTCAGTTTGGTTCATTCACACCACAATCACACAGCATAACATCGCCCCGCACAAAGTGTCCAGTCAGATTATGGTTATTGTTAATCCAGACACATTTGACAAACTCGAATGACTCGCCATCTAATTTCGTTCTCTAACCCGACCAGAATTACCCAGCTACAAGGATATTTCTGACGTTTAAACCGCTTAGTAGCTCAGATGAACCGCATTATCATATTTGAGTCGAGGACAGATTGGAAGTACTCTAAATCGATTGCCAACATCCGTATTGCGCCAGATTTTTGCTTCTTCAAATGCGCCGGAGGACTTAGATTTTTTAAGTTTGAAATATTCCGTCTTATGGAAGTTCGAGTTTTCAAATTAAGGTCTTGTCGACTTTCCGAATGACAAGCGGTTGATTATTCAACGTATCTTCATTGATGAATCAACGAATTTGAATTCATCCTCGACTAATAGTTTGGCAACATTTTCCATATTCATCATTTGTTTCATGTTTGGTCACTGTAAAAACCGATTTTCCAACCGAATCAACGGGTACAACTTCAGACTATGGATGATGAAGTGTTTAAATCTAAGATATTTTAACGCTCGGAGTATGAAAATCCCAGTACTGCATTTATTTGGGGTACCCTGCTTTACTAGATAAGCAACAGTGTAATTGGAAAATATACGGTGTAAAAAATATTTATATAGCACTGTACCTGGTTCTTCCAGTCCGCACTGAGTAGTTCCCTGATCAGATGCAGCCCCGGTGGACACGTCCATCGAGACGTATGATGGATTGGACATGATTACCTGACCGGATTCTCCTGGCACATTTAGCTGACTGGATGACCCCGTGAGAAAACTGTCACTCCCAGTGGACTCCACTTCATCGTTGATTTGTGAGGCAATCTATCACGACGTGAGAGGGGGAGGGGGGAGGGAAGCGTGGTGAACAACATCCGGTGAGAAAAAGAGACCCGTGGTTTTCACTTGGTCATTCGGATTCCCAATAACCCAAGCAGGTGAAAATAGTACGTGATATTTTATCTTCAGTTCGTTGCCTTATTCCAATGCCAACCCATGAGTATGCTTACTTTTTGCAGGGGGAAGAGGGACGTTTGAACTTTTATTCTGTTTTAGAAATAGTACTGACCCCAAATGCAAAGGTGGATTATAGACGAAGTCACTGGGATTGTAGAATACCAAAATCTTCGGTTTTAATTTTTAAGGATATTCATATAACTTATAAACTAGCATCCACATAAAATGACAGACACTTCCATGGGATAATCAGTTGAGATATAAGTTTTTGGTAGTCCAGAACAATAATTATATGCCACGAAGAGTTAGCAAACCGAAGTTACGAGTATGACAGGAATATTCCCCAATTCAATGACCTATAGACAGTGTAGAGTGTAAAGTACTCTAGCTTGTGGTAGGGCTTAAAAATCATTCTAAGAAAAATATCCAAAGCTGCTAAATGGACGCAATCACGAAATCTTCCACTACCATTTAGTATTGCTGGTATCACTTTTCGCTCGTAATGCGCGGTTCCGAAAACCCACTATTTTATTAATCTGAAAGCACAGTGATACAGATCGAACATGGAGGATAGCCAAGCTTCGCTAAACTAAACTTTTTTCATATCTATGACAACAGTGTGCTTGTGGTTAAAAAACAGCATTCCGCTTTCCGCAATCTCATTCTGTGTGCCTCTCTTCACTGGTTTCCGATGAACAGTTTATATCGGCTGCATGATCATACGCATATTGGAACGCGTCCGTTAAGATAACACAGTCTGGTTGAGGCCTCGAGAAAATAAGTCGGGTACCAGTGCAGTTCTCGTTCCCAGCTAAAGCTAAACGCGCGGTGAGCGTGGCTGAATATCTCCGCCCGTGTTTAGGCTCTGGAGTTGCCTGTCCAGATCGGTTAGAAATCGCGTCTTGGCTACCATGAAGGCGGTAACGATTTACCTCCACAACTCCCTTTGTGCTCTCAGAAACAATTCGTGCTCGCATTAATTCTACTCTGGCCCACTTATCACCTAACGACATGTTCTATATCTTCCGAAAACTAACGCGTTGATCATGTGATAATCTGCTCACACTCGGTCTCTGGTTAAACATATGCTATACGGAAGTGAATACTAACCCTTCACACTTTGTTCTCTGACTATCCCTCATGTATCTAACCCCGTATATTATGTTGCATTAGCATGATTAAGAGTGACTGAAAACGGACCTGTGTTCTCCAAATTCGCTGAGATTATTTAGAAAGTTGTTGATCGATACACTTTGTGTATAACTAATTAAATTATTTGGTTAGCATATGAAAATTACCTCCTCAGAAGAATGAAATAACTCAGTGCGATAATTTGGCGTATTATCCATGGATGGCATATTCGATAATCGTGGACACTGCACTGAAACCAAGGGATTAGGCAAAATTCAGTACTTTTTGGGTGCCAGTTTTCCTTAGATACGGAAAGGCACAAAAATCTGGAAAATTTAACTTTTTTTCTGAACCAAAAACACTTTGCATCAGACGTTAACTGCTCAATGGTTAACGAATGTTAAGAAATTCCATTCAACTTCGGTGACCTCTTTAAAAATAGCAAGAAAGACCATCGTTGTGGTATTTTCACTCAGAAGTGCATAGTTGAGGGGCGTTTTTGATAAGGAAACAAGTGATTCCCTCGAAAACATCGTAGTACCGCAATCAAACAAGAAAGATAAGTGATCATCAAAACATACACTATTTACATCACATACTGGCGTATATCATTTTACCACTAAGTTAGTGCATCCGTAGAATGCACCTGTTTGTAAAGCTGAGCAAGTCGGTTATACGGTTTTTGCTGCCAGCCTACTCACACTTCATCTGCCTGATGACTTCCCTGGTGTCCTTGAGATCACCTAAAAGATTCATTCTAACAAGTAGACAACGACGTTGCTTGGCTATCTGCTGCGCTTAATCTGCTGAGGTATTACATTATCTATCACTGTCTATCATCATCTACCACTCTGAGCCCAGGGGTCGACATTTTCCATTTATTTATGGCATCAAGTGCGCTGTCGTTTTGGTTGTTGGTTTTTGCTGTGTCCGAATTAGACGTTCACTCCTTCTAAGCGGGAAATCGATCAACATCTCCCTCATGTATTGGTATACGCTTGTTGATTTCAAATCATGTTTTGTTTGTTGACTGATCGAATCCACTTTGTCTTGATTAACCTGCGCATAAAAGTAACTTAGCTACCAGGTCTTACTCCCGCGTCTTGCACATTCCTGCTGTTCAGTTGTCCGATAAGGTCGGTTTTGGCGTTTACTTTCACAGGAATAAATGGAGTGCCACGATTACGTGTTCTACTGCTAACTGCGAACAAAACAGTTCCGAATCAGAGATGATAAACGGCCTTGAACTGGACTTATACTTTATGGTTCTTAGTGATTTTCGCTATTTTAAATCGTTCTAAACATTCCGTATCAAGAGAACAAGCGTCTCCGTCCGAATAGCTATTGAATAATGCCGGTTTCAACCCATTTCTTTTTTTTCCAAAATATTTTTCGACGGGCATATTTGATAAATCGTAAATTTCATGTTTAAACCTGATCTCACTGTGGTTGTCCTATCAAAGTTGGCGAAGTATATCTTGTCCTATAAGGTAGCACCAGTACTTCACACGTGTCGGAATAGCCCTTGAAAGCAGTACACTGTACTTCTCAAATTTCCCAACATCTGGATTGGGAAATCCGCTATCGGAACACATGTGCAGATGTCTCCTACACTTCGACCATTAGTCCAACCGGACTCGCCCCTACTGGTTTGTTTCACGTCAAGACCAACTATGAGAAGAAGATCCAGTTCGTCACTGATAATACCATACACAACGAGAAAGCTCAAAGTGATTGATTTCTATGGTTAGTATCTCCTGCTGGGTTTACTACGGATACATACGTGCAACCCTGTAGACTGGTTATTTTATCGGTCCAGATATTTTGCATTCATGTGCCTGGAGAAAGTAGTGTTTTGTAATCAATAAATTCTTTCCATCTTCACTATGAACCTAGCCTAGAGCGATAAAGTAGGCATGGATCAAAAGCATAGTGACACACATTATGCAGCCCATCACAGCTTCCCAAAACAAACTTACTACACCAGAAGTCAAACTGTGTTGCATAGGTAGAGTAGACAGTAACACGTCCAGGCAACGAGAGATCATCATCCGTTCTCGATATTCTTTCATCGACATCGAGCTGGCGCTCATCTGAGTCAGTGCTTGTTCATCCATCTCAAACATGCTTCGAGACATCGGGTCGTGTTCCTCCAAGTCGAAATGAGTGCTCAGGAATTTCCGTGAATCAGTCAGCTGGATAGGTTCTTCTTGCTTCTTTCCAGGTTCCTTTACTTCCACTCCGTCGGTACTCGTCACTTCGGTGGTGGCTGAACCAGTGATGCCACTATCCGACTCTGTATCCATTTTTGTTGATTTGCTGAGAATATCAAATGGACGAAGCGAATCAACTGAGGAGCATTTATCATTCGATAAGTATTATCGGATAGTGCTACTACTATTACCCACTTCAGAAGTAAAAAAGATCATCCAAAGCATTATTCCAGGTGTAGTATCGTTGACTGAATTTCCACAGTCCTGTGCTACGCACAAAACTGTTAGTTAAGTTTAGTTCCGTTGGTTTCCAAATTGGATTCTAGCACCGGTATTTTCATCATCCGATAAGATTGGGTGTGTTTTGTTTCATTTTCCGTGCATTCCCATCCATTCTGAATTTCCAATACAACACGCACTCAGATGAGAAAGAATGTGTGGCAAATATTCTGCTTTTCACTTGCAGTTCTGTGATAAATCCGTGTAGCTCCATCGGCTTTAATTCCATGCGTCTACCCAAACATGCTCACACAATCTACATCCTGTCATAATTCGCCCGAATCTGCGAACTCACTCCAGCAAGCAATAACAATCGGAACTGGTTCAAGGCTTAGCTGATAAACCTGGTCCACAGCTTTCTCAGTGCTATTTAATAACAGGGCATTCTGAAACATCAGCATTACTCATTTTCCATACAGCTTTTGAACAAAACTGATTTGCTGGTGCTCAAGCCCGACAAAGGAAAATGTGTTTTCAATATGAAGAAGGAAGATCACATACAAAAACCGATAAACACAACCTGACGTCTGCTCCACACAGGAGCTCTAACTCTGCTTCGTGGATACATTTTCTCGCGATCTTTCTGGTCTCTTGGTGGATTATTAAAGAATATGAGTCCAGTTACCTCTGCGGATCAATGTGCATGTTTGATTTTCAGGGAAAACATTGGCCCCCGGGCCAAAGTCCTGAAGTGTGATTATCATGAGGGGTGGATTTACCTGAAATGTACAAAAGTCGATAAGGATAAATATGAGTGGCTCAGTTTTACAGCTGTCCATTCCTACGAATTGTGTGCGCAGACGGTGCCACCGCAACTAAAAGCAAAACAGTTGAATACATGGCCTTAGGGAACCAAGAACCTGCGGCATCATGTGCAACGAGCTCCAGATCGCTCGCGGAAGTTGTTTCATCCGTTAGGAAAAGCCCATCAACAGCAGTACAGAAACATCGTCGGAAGAAAGTTGTAACTACTGACAATGCCGCAGTGACCCTTAGTATGGTAGACAACACTGCTTTTGCGGAGTTGTCTAGTGCAGTCGGAAAAGGTACAGTCCCCTTTCCAGAGCAGCCGGAAACCACAGGTCAGTGGAAAACTGTGAAGCCACTTCAATGGACGGAGCCGCCACCTGGGACGCAATGCTTCCTGGTCAATCATTTGCCGGAATCAACTGAGTTGGTGTCACCAAGTCGATTAGATAATGACGTGTCTCTTCCACGGGACACATTCGCCAAGATATTCTCCACGGTAGAGAAAAACCTGTCAAATAATGTGAAGGTCAGAGCTGTTTTTCTCTGAGGGAAAATAAGTGAGAACGGCCTCGGGTTCCGATGAGGAATCCCATTCAGAGCTACAGCGGTCCTATAGACTAAAAGGAAAAAAGTGCGACTTTCTCAGTATCTCGATCCTGTGACAGAGAAAAGCATAGGTTGGCGTCCCGAGAGCTCCACGAAAGTCAAGACAATGGAGAAACAAGTACATTCATCCGGGATTTTCAAGCACAAAGGTAGCGCCTTCGACTCAGGTGGAAGGCTTTAAACCTCAACAATGTCACCAACCAGGCAGTTCCGGCAGTGGAGATTTAGTGGGGGTTGGCACGGAAGGGGACGACTTATTTCATTTAGCGGCTGTCTTCTGAGAGAGGATAAGACGGCTTCGTAGGTGTCACGGATTGGGCTTGACGACGAACGGCCTTCGGGGGTGAGATCGATGGTTTACTGTAGCGGAAAAACCCATGGAAAGTCTTGGAAATAGTGTACACAGTTGTGTCCCTAGCGTAGCTTGGGATGATAGACGAGAGCAAGCAATCAATACGTCGTCTAATGTCAGCAGTCTGTTGAATAAGCAGGATGAGCTTGAGGCGTGGGTGGTTCATCACTCGCCAACACTGGTTGTCTTGGAGGAGATGTGGCTTACCGGGGACCTGATGGATTCGGAAGCCGTTCTCTCAGGATACACGCCGTATCATGCTGATGGAAGCTAAGCCCGTGGAGGGGGAGGCGTGGTCATTTTTATCCGAGTCGATGTTCCTTCGTTACGGTTGGATGGTCAGATAAACCCGGAGGGCTTTGGAGAATTTATGTGGTGTCACGTAAAGCTAACACCTAGTGGATTTGAATCGGTTGGAGTCATTTATTTGTTCCTAGCAGCAGATCTTCCAGAGATACTGACTGGCGTGGTAAACTGGGCTGGCCATGGTCACTGTCTAATTTTGTGTGACTCCAACTTGCAGACTCTTGGTCGGGAGAATCTACGGTGCAGTGCAGGGGAGGATTCATTTCCCCGTGAGATACTGTCAACAGTAGTGGAGCTTTCCCTGTGCCAGCACTTCTGGATGTTAACTCAAATCCAAGATCTTCAAACGTCTATCCTAGAGTTGGCAGTATCTCCCAGATGTTTTGATACAGAACATTGAATACCTACATCTACTAGGGACGAGTGACCATGCGGTGTTAACCATCAGCTGGAAGATAGGAGCGATTTTCGTACCCAAACCGCAGAGTGGACTGCGCGTTTGGTAAATGCTGTTCCAACAATTCAGGGAGGCTATGGTACCCACAAGGCCCGTATGACATAGAAAAGGTGTGAGGAGTGATTTGGGATGAAGTCCTTCAACTACGTCAAACCTTCACTTCACCATCCAGACAGAGACCGCATACTAAAGATCCACCATGGTTTGACTTGCAACTTAGGTGTCTTTTGAAGCGCCAGAATGGTGCTTGGAAATTGTGACACTGATGGAGAGAAGTATGACCACTACCGCACCATCCGTAATCAGCGCATCCATATGAAGTGATAAAAGCGACGTACATTTAAACAGACTTTAGCAAGTGGACTCAGTTCGTGCACCCAAACGTCTTTTTGCTTATCTGAGACGGAGGACACGAGCTACAACTGCCATTCCAGCCCTATAGAATGGACATTCGCAGAAAATACAGATGAACATAAGGCGAGGCACTGCTTGTCAGTGTATGCCTCTGAACTGATGCATAATCATCCTCCACAGATTGCAGTGGATACTCCCTGTATGTCGTGCGAGGAAGTTACTGAGGAAAAGGTGACTGCAGCCATTTGTACTGTCAGAGTTAACCAGCCCTTTGGACCTGATGATGTGCATCCCTTAGTGGTAAATAGCTGGCCGGTGTGTTAGCTCAGCCAATCACAAGTTTGTTCAACGAGTCGTTACCAGCGGGAAAGCTAGCCCAAGAATGGAAGAAAGCTGTCGCTGTCCCACCATGCAAATGGGAGGGGAAGGCCAAAGCCGACCTGTCAGCCTGACACCTGTGGTGGGAAAGGTTATGGAACACCTGCTGGACACACGACTCCCGGAGCGAAAAAGTGTAAACGAACTTCTATGCCGACAAAAACACGGATTTTGGAGCAATATGCCGTACCTAACAAACTTGCTACTTACACGAGAACTCTGAATGAATACCAAGGCCAAGGGATACCCTACAGACATAACCTTCGTGGATTTTAGAAAAATTTGACAAAGTTCAATACGACCGTCTATTAGGTAAGCTGAAGGCCCTCGATGTTGTGGATCTTTTGATTCTGTGGATCGAGGATTTTCCTAAAGGGAGGATGTTTACTGTACAAGTAGCACAGTCAATGTCGACATGGCAGATAACTAATGGTGGTGTGACACATGGGTCGGTTTTAGGCCCGTTTCTCTTCCTGGCCTACATCAGTAACCCATTCGCAATTTTTCAATCGCCAGATCTCATCTGTGCGGACGACCTGAAGATCTGGCGCACGATCACATCGAATGCACATGAGCTCATTCTTCATGAGGATATCAAGGCCCTTGAAAGGTGATCTGATCTGGGGTCCTTGCCAGTCAACACTGACAAGTGTGCACGTATGCAAATAGGGGTAGCGTCCAGTAATGGGATGTGATATGTACACGAGACACCTTTTCGCCGTTCTGTCTGCAAAAAAGGCTTGGAGGTGATTGTGACCTCGTCACCAAAAATGAAGATTAACATGGACTGTAAATTACTTTTTGTAATTTGTATTTTTGACGACATCTTCGCTTGTCTTACTCGTGAGTAGCGTGTATATGCCTCATGAACCTCGAATACTTGTGATCCAATTCTCTGTTTTTACTGTACTGACACAGTTCAGATTTACCCCTTTCCGACGTATGGTGCGTGAACATTTTACGTTATGTTCCCGACTCGATTGTTCTATGATTGTACATTCCCCTTGTAAGAAAATTTTGCAGAACGTTTCACTTACGCTTCTTGACCCACTGTCTGTACCGCAACCGTGCTGCGCTACAGTTTCGCATGACTCCTTGCTGAGTGGACCGTTTATGACCGCGCTGTCCCGATTTTTCGGATAACTTTCTGTACTGTTGCCTTTGGTTGCTCACCTGGCTGTAAGTCATTGCATTTATGTATTTTTATGTATTGCATTGTTTAGAACCACGAAATTACGATAAACACGGTTATACATTTGGAATTTGTTCTGCTGCCCGTAGCCGTGTACAGCCCATATCGTGCGTAAAGCTAGTGAGACTAATTTTTCTGCTATATTGAAAGTTCAAGTAATCGGGATAGTTTCTACATGGACAAAGTTTTTGCTTAACATTGGAGTATCCTTAGACCGATTATTCGATCATTCGGTCATCTCTCACTCGACGTTTTCAATGTACTGTATGCATCCCACGTACGGCCTAGACTGAAATGCGGGAAACGAGCTGTGTTCTCTTGTGTGGCCAGAGAAGTGGCAACGTTTGAAAGGGTGCAGAGAGGTAAAACCCGTCTTATTGGTAGACTACGTGGGATCTTCTACGTAGGTCGGCGGAAGATTACGGGGTTTTT